GGCGAGAGAGTGATGCGGGTGGGGGGAGAGCCGGAAGACGAGAGAGGGAGGGGGACGAAGAGAAAGAGAATAGGGTATTTATCTTCCGGGTAACCAACATCCGAGGTGATGACGTCAGCAGTCACCTACGTGGCTTCACGGTAACCATCAGATTGACTTCGTCCCAGCTTGGTACCAATTATCCCTACATGGTACCAAATTGTATTCGGCACATTCCCTAACTGGTAACCGTCAGTTTCAACGTTTCCGAACTGCCCCCACGTGTTTCGTACACGCCCTGGCGAAAGTCGCGAAGAAGAACATCTAATACAGAGTATTTTGCAGGTGCGCATAGGCTGAAATGTTACGCAACACATATGTTGCGTAACACATATCAAATGTTGCGTAACACATTCCATCGTAGTCTCAATGTCTTCTCGCACCAACCCTGTCAACGAATCTGCAGCAGAAAGAAAAAAAAGCAGCATTAGCAGCAGCAGAAACAGGTCAAGCAGCATGGGCATCTGGAGACGGCAACTGGGGTTACGAACATAAGGAACCAACATTTACTATAGTCGAAGCACATATGGAAGTTGACCGTACATGGGGCAAGAAAGAGTTAAGCGTACCTGACGTTTGGGCGCGTCACCGACATCTCGGCATCCCTTGGGATGAAACTGCAGAAGAAGTCAAGTTCATCCAGCTTTTCAGCACTGACCGCTGCGTTAATCCTACGCCAATGATTCATCTTTCTCCAACCTTCTTACTTCACTCCGATTTGTACCTACGTTCAAAGAGACACAAGACTATTGCAGAAAACGGGCACAAACAGTTAGGTCATCCCTTGCAATATGCTCTTAACAACTCGATTAAAGTCTCGGTCTTCGACAAGGACCCCCTCCTTTTAATAATCGGCCAAGGGCTTCGACCTAGCAGTCGCCAACTACCCAGCGCCATCTGTCCCGCTGCTCACCTCAATCATGCTCCATTCCTGTCGCACTTCCCGAATGCTACTAAATACTCACCTATGGATGTCGTTTTTGGCGATGTACTCTTCATGCCCCAGGAAGCAGAGGATATCAGCGACAACAACTACCGCTATATAATTGCCTTCATCGACAGAGCTACTTGACATATCTAGCACAAGAATCTCCCTCACAAGTCTGAAGCCCTCGACGCCTTGAAACCATGGCTGAAAATTGCGGAGCTGTAGAGCGGCATCAAGCTGAAAGAGATCCAGACTGATAACGCGGGCGAGTACACAAGCAAGCAGTTCGATGAATTCCTGACGCGAAAATGGACTCTAAGGCGCAAGACTGTGCCTTATGCCCACCAGCAAAACGGAGTAGTTGAGAGGAACAACAAAACACTACAAGAGAAGATGCGTGTACTACTGCAATAATCCAGCTTGACAGCAAACTTTTGGCCGTTTGTGATAGCGCAAGCTGTCAGACTTCACAATTGCTACCCAAGTTCAGCTCGCCACACATCATGTGAAAGGTTTCGTATGCTCGAGACTGCATCTTCTACGAGAAAAAAATTCTCGATGACTTCGAACACGACATGGAACACCATCAGTGGGATCCTGATCGCTACAGTGTCGAACGGAGTTTCGCCACGCCTCAAGATGAAGCAGATGCAACCGAAGAATATTATCCGTCAAACAGTGCAGCAGCAGGACCTTCTTCAGTTCCGCAGTTGTCCACATCAGCAGCTGCACCTGGTTCCTCCTCTCGTGTCGCAGCACTATTCGAATCATATATTCCTTCGACACGTGCCAACAATACAGCTACTCCGCTCTTCATTCCCCTCTCGGGCCCGTTGCGTCCTGCCACGACACAGGCTACGTACAATTATGAAGAGCACATGCGCCGACAGAAATTGACGCAACATCACATGACGATGCCCGCCATCTGCCATCCAAAATTGACGATGATGGCGTCGTCAAAGTTTGCCAGCCGCACCCTCGTGGTGACAAATCGGCTCTTCAGATTCTCAACCTTGCTGTCGTAGTTCAATCACCGACGGCCGGGATCAAATCGAAAACAGTCAAGCATGCCCTCTCCGGCTCTGATGCTGACAAATGGCGAGCAACTATGGATGCAGAAGTATCGGCTCTCGAGAACCCGAAAACGTGTAAACTCGTTCCACGTGAAATGGCACGTGGCAAGAATTTTTTTTTGGGCAAGTGGGTCTTTTGCATTAAGACAAACGCAGTAGGAGAACCAGACAGATTCAAGGGGAGATGGGTCGTTCGATTATAGCCAAAAAGTGGAGGTTTCAAACAAACCCACTGCATCAATTATGACTAAACTTTTGCTCCGGTCAGCCGCGATACCTCAGTTCGAATTCTTCTCGCTATCGCTGCCAGCCGCCATCAGCCACTTCGCCAACTGGACGTTAAGAATGTGTTTTTATATGCAGACATTGATGCAGATATTTTCATCGAGCTCCCTCACACTTATGGTGATGGGCTCCACATCTGCAAACTACTCAAGTCCCTCTACAGCATCAAACAGGCCCCACGCCTGTGGCAGCAGCATCTCCACCAGGTCCTTTCTTCCCTCGATTTCGTGCAGCTGCCCCACATTCCTGGAATGTACATACTCGAATCTTGAGGACATTAAATTCTTCTAGTTGCCTATGTGGATGGCCTACTATACACCGGCTCATGCAACAGTCTTCTGGCGCGCATGGAGAAAAGAATCCAAGCGATCCATGAATTTACTTTTTCCCCCAACGTAACCCAATTCATTGGGTTAAAGGACGATTGCGGCCCCGATGCCATCTACCTCTCTGCCAGCAAGTACGCTGAAACACTTGCGAAAAAAGTTCGCCATCGCTCCCATCGGCCTTGCCACTCCTTTTCGTCATATTCCGGCCGACCACACGCCAAACACTACCCCACTTACCGCCTACGAGCATCAACTTTACCAGCAGCAGCTCGGGTGTCTTCTATTTGCAGCCGCTACATGTTGTCGCGACCTTGCCTACATTACGAGTGAGCTCGCACGGTACCTGCGCCGACCTGAAGGGGAGAATATGGCCGATCTTTGTCGAGCCCTCCAGTATTTTATTTCTACTCCTACAATTTGTCTTAGCTACACGACAAATACTGCAACAAATTTTCGACTAACTGGATACGTTGACGCGGATCACGCTGCTAACCCTGACAATAGGCATTCACGAACACGGTTCATCTTCAAGCTTGAACCAGGTGGTGTCATTTCTTGGAACTCAACGAAACAAGCCATCGCACTCTCGTCAGTCGAAGCAGAATTCACCGCAGCAAGCTCTGCAGTTCGCGAAGTACTCTATCTTCAAGAGTTGCTTCAAAAGGTGAAAATCGCAACGGCTCGTAACTTCAAGTTGCTGTGCGACAACCAGAGCGCAATCAAGATTGCAAACAAGCCCGACTTCGTCAACAGGACAAAACACATCGCCCTTCGATACTTCTTCGTCAAGGACGAAATTGACAAAGGGAAAGACATCCCGAAATTCTGCCCTACACAAGAAATGGCAGCTGATTTTCTCACGAAGAAACTCCCACGCGGCAAGTTTCGATACTGCTCCACCTGGTTGGAATCTGCAAATGAGGTGAGACTTACCCTGAGACATATACTCAAGAATGAAAGGGAGTGTTGAAGTATACTTGGTAGAGTTACCATTTATGCATTCCTGATACCATGCTTAGACTATACTAGTTGTGAGATACCTCATATGGAAGGACGCGCGTGATGACGTCAGCAGTAGCGAGTCAACGCGTGAAGTGTAGGTTCGTGCGTATAGTTACCCGAAGAGTCACGCCACTCTCAGTCACACGAACAGTCACTAGCCATGTCACGAGAATAGTCGTATTACATCACGAACATGTACATTACAAATAGGTAGTTCATAGACTATAAATATGCCTGTATAACTCATTATTACCATCCTTGTCATCTCGGACATTTCCAATACAAGGTGTAAGTCTTCCGCTGAATTTTACTCGTGGTTCCTCCAACTCTAGATCCTAGCCACCCTAAACACATCGTTCACTTTTACATTAGTCAAATCCACAGAGTGTCAACTTATATATATTTTATATATAGTTGTGTAGGCTTGTTTGGTGTCCTACAAATGACTGGATCCTACTATACAGAGGACAACCCCCTTCTTTTACCTCACTCTCTCTCCTAGTCAAGTCTTTTTTCTCTCACTAATTTCCTCTCCTACCTAGCTAAACCCTACCTTGTTGTTCTAACATGGTTTCAGAGCAGGAAGATCCTGCTGAGCCTCCTATTCACGCTTCCACCGCGTACTCTCTCCTCTCCTTTTACTTTTGTGCCTTGCCGTGCTGCCGCGGCGACCTCGTCGAGCAGCCGTGCCTACCTCGCCGCGCTGCTACGGCGACCTCGACGCGGTGCCGTGGCGGCCACGTCCTGCTGCCATGGCGGCCTCGACGCGTGGCGGCCTTGTCGAGCAGCCGTTGCGGCCTCGCCGTGCTGCCGTGGTGGACTCGTCGTGCTGCCACAGTGGCCTCGTCGTGCTGCCGTGGCGTCATCGTGCTGCCGCGACGGCTTCGATGCGCCAGTGCACGGACGGCTGCGGCCAACGTGCTGGTTTAGGCGCCAGCCAATACGCCTGCACGCCAGCAAGCGCCATGCTAGCTACGGCGCCTCGCTGAAGACACGCCCCCTCCCCTGCGTCTCCCCTCATCCCAGCCGTAGCTGATGGCTCCCTTCCCTGTCGTCGCCGGGCAGTTCCATGCCACCGGGTGCCGCGGGCTTCGCAGTCGCTGCCGCCGCCACCGCTGCAGGTGCAGCTGGCTCCGTCGCCACCCGCCACCGCCGCCGCCCGTGTTGTCATCGTAGCTGCCGCTGACGCCGTTGCTGCCACCTGCCATCGTTTCGTATGAGGTGTATAAGCCGCAACCGCTGTAGGACATGGGGTTGCAAGGGCTTGGGGGTGTTTGTGTGTGGTGTGCTAGTGCCTACAGAGCCTAGGGAATGTGTCAACTTATATATTATATATATATAGTTGTGTAGGCTTGTTAGGTGTTTTACAAATGACTGGATCTTAAGAGGACAACCTCCTTCGTGTACCTCTCTCCCTCTCTCTCTCTCTCTCGCTCTCTCTCTCTCTCTCTCTCTCTCTCTCTCTCTCTCTCCTCTCTCTCTCTCTCTCTCTCTCTCTCTCTCTCTCTCTCTCTCTCTCTCTCTCTCTCTCCCTCCCCTAGTCCAGTCTCTTTTCTCTCGCTTCTCTCCTCTCCTACCTAGCTAAACCCTACCTTGCTATTCTAACACAAAGCTCGTGAACATGTAAATTTGTATCTCTCTTGCTCCAATCCCTTCCCCTTACCAAGCTGCCCATCTCGTCCTAGAAAACAAAGCAAGCTTACGTACGAGACCTAAAAAAGAGATCCACATTAGCACACATCAGGATCCTCTCCACTCCCTCTCCCTCTGCAGTTCTACCTGTGTATACATGCACATGTCAGCAGTGTACTAGGATAACAATATTATTTGAGGTTTATATATGATAATGGACCACATTATAGGCGCAGCTCATACGTGTGAAACCTGCTGAGTGTTCGTGATTTTCTAACTGCCAGATCAGCACACAGAACGCGGGTACAGTTTTCATCTAAAGGTAAGACCACATAGACTCTGCCAGGCAAGCCAAGGAGCTTGGTGTTAACCCCTTGACCAAGCCTGAAAGTTTGAAGCTCAGCACAGCGCACGCCAGCAGCAGCGAATCAGAGTCGTCGCAATCCACGACATTGCGTGACGGGACATTGGACAAACGGGCACAGAGAAATCTGACTGTCTGCGCTGGTGTCGCAAAATCCACGACATCGTGTGACGGGACTCGGCCATCCTTCGCGAGAGCCACGTTTGGATTTCTGCGAAGGCCGATTGAACCATCGCTGTCGATCGGTAATCCAGCGAAAAGAGCGAATCCTCAACACGCGAAAAAGGGCCTATCGTCACGAGCATTTTCCAACGATAGTTCGTCTCGGTATACACCAGGAACAGTATATATTCAAACCCACCTACCTGGCACTGAGCATGACTCGCGTTGACGCTGAACCTGATGGGCTCCAGTATGAACGATAGAGAAAGGGCAAGTCTGATTTCGACAAATGCGAGTTTCAGGTCTGGGACGTCGCGCGGGCATCTTCTCGTGTGCATGAGCGAAAATATGTAACGAGTACAGTACTGTGGGTTTCCCCTTCCATGTCCCCTTTGTCCGGGTTTGAACGTTTCCTGCTTGCAGGCTCAAGACGCATGCAAACAAAGTGGGACTAAATATAAGAACAAGTGTAGTTGGTTTGGGTGGGGTGCAGCCTTTCCGAGGTTTCAGTCGCGTGCAGTCTTGCATCCCTCTCTTCCTTTCAAAGTACAACTCTACTTTGTAAATATCCAGTTTTTCTTGTGCTCTCACTTGCGAACCATTAGCTCAAACTACTCGGCCATAAATTCTGCAAACACGACGTTGACGCTGCGACCTGCGCCCAGTTTCAGAAAACCGGCATTGCAGAGAACACTGGTGTCACCGCTGCAAGCCGTCTCAAAAGCTGCCGCCGCCGTCATTTTGCACGAAGCCAAAACACAACGTTACAACACCATGCGGCCATCGTCGAATCCTCCTCGCTCTTCCCTGCGTGCGAAGCCAGTCGTAGCGCTGCTGCTGCTGCTGCTGGTGCTGTGCGTCCATCACAAGGCGGGCCTCGTAGGAGCAGAGACGGTCAGCCTCCACGCGTCGCAAAGTGAGTACGGCCCATATTGGTCGCTCCGATTCTTCCTGTGTGCAGAGTCCGTCGCGGCGCTGCTGCTGCTGCCAGCGGCGCTGACACTGTGCCGCGTCCACGAGCTCCTACAGGCTCGCCTCGTGATGGGAGAGACCGTCACCCTCGACCCGTCGCAACTTTCATGTTCAAGTAGGACTAAAGGTAGTAAAGCTGCCACTCTTCCCGTGTGCACGGCGCGGTTGCTGCTGCTATCGCTGTGCGTCCACGGGCAGCCCCAAGCTCGCCTCGTGGGAGCAGAGACCGTCATCCTCGACCCGTCATCCTTGACCCCGTCACCTCGTGCCACGGCCGACATTCTCTGCTTCCCTCTTCCGTTATCTCATCTGTCTGTCCCTCCCCTTCAAGTGGCAAGATTTCACTCTCCCGTCCTTCTAATTAACTCCCTTCCATCTCCCGCCATTCTGTCTCACCCTTCCATCTCTCACCTTTCTCACTCCCACCCCTTCTCATCCTGTCCCTTCACCAGTCGCCCCCTTGCAGGCCCTGGAAACCGGTTTGAACGAGACGCTCGTGTACAGCGACCAGACTTGCGAGACCACCTCCACCATGGGCGACATCCTCTGCGACGCCGAAGGCTACGTCACCGAAATCAGGTCCGTCCAGGTGCTGCTCCACTGGCGCTCCTCAGAGCCGTTGAAGTTTGAATTCATTCCCTCAACACCTCACCGCCGTACCCACGTGCCAAAATACTTCTACCTTGGACCGACCATGGCCGACCATGGCCGACATCCTCAGCAACGCTGACGGTTTCTACGCCATCAAAATCACGTCCAAGTCGGTGTGTCGATGTTTGAGGCACCCACACCACGTCAAATTCTGGGCGTCGCAGAACCCATCAGCTTCTGAGATGGTGGGAGCAATCCGAACATTCCTTCGTTGGAGTCTACTCGAGGATTAAGACACCCAACTTGCAATTTCGCCCTCCTTGAACACCCCTCCCCCCCCCACCCCCCTCCTTCCCTCCCTTCACCCCTTCTCCATAAACCCCTTCCCCCCTCCCCCTTACCCCTTTCCCAATTCCTCGGTTCCCCAGCATATTCAGTTTCCAATCTTTATTTTGGAAGTGACGTCTATTCCAGCATCCCTACTTCCGATGTAACTTCAACAATCAACCTCCAATGGTGCATTCCAAATCCGCCCCCTTGCAATATCTCCATTTTCCAGCCCTACTTCGGCAAGGACTCTTCTCCACCATTCCTTCGCTTCAGACTCTTTCTCCCCCCCTCCACCCCCCCCCC